TATAAGTATTTTCCTTGGACTTGATGACTCTGTATTATTTATGGTGTATTTGGGAACACATTTGAGATGTGTATTGAGGGCCCAATACATATTTCAAATGTGAATTTATATTTGATAAATTCTTTTCAAATTTTATTTGGTTTGAATGGTACATTACAAATACTCAAAGGGTGCTATCTCAAGTTAACATTAGCATTTTAGCATTTGTAGGATGCTAATGTAATTTTTAGAAATTTTAAAATATCTTATGATATTATCTAAAATTATAACATTACCAATATGATTTAGTGAGAAACTAATATGATTTATGTCTTTTATAAGGTAATTTTTAATTTATTTCTAAATATTATTTATTTATTTATATGATTACTCACACATATATATGTTTATTTAAATAAAAATATATATATTTACTTTTGAATAAATATTAAAGAATATTAAATGGATCAATTTATTATATAATATTCAACATGCTTTTGAAACATAATTTTAATAAATAACACGTACGTCAATGTAAATTTAAAATATAATTTTCATCTATTGTTAGTTATCAAGCACTCAAAGCATTCCATACTTGTACATTCATTCAAGTTTCTTTATGAAGATGCATATTAAAAATATAAACATATTCCAAATGTAGCCTGAATGTCTCTTCATTAGTTAACCTGTTAAGAACAAGTATATGTTACAAGAAATTATGTTAACAAATTCAAACAGAGTTTACGCTAAACAGAGCTGAATACTTGGAAAGTAACCATGTAGCTGATGCCCTATCGCTGCTAACAGTATCTTTGTTGTGGTTGATTATGAAAATCCAAGCGGATTACATGATTAAGATTTATTTAGATGGAAAACTGGTCTAGTTCCCTTTTAGCGTAGAGCTACATATGATAGATGGTCTGTTAGAGGACACGGTTTTGGTTTTGGAAAGTAGACATCTATAAAGGAATTGCGGTGGAAGTGCCTAGGATTGATTATAAACTGCTATTAATTATAATCATATGGGTAGTATGTGTTTAAAGAGAGACTGGATCTTGTTTAAGAAAAAAAGTAGCTCTTTAAGTGTATCGTAAAGGGTCTATGTGGCTGTGTAACAAATCGGATTGAAGTAGATACTTTTGGATTATAAAATAATCGTTCTAAATATTTTGATATTACATTCCAATAGAGACATTTGTTTTTTGTTATCTTCTTTTACGACTTGTTGTGGAAATTAATTTCAAAGGCTTGTCAAAGTAAGAATTAATTTTCATATCTTTGGTATATATATACTTATAATTTTTTCCTGGATTATTTACAGTGATTCAAGCGACTCTGAGGATGAGTATTTGGATTCTTGTTTGTGCACCATTATGTAAATCTTCTGCACAGATTACATCGTTTCTGCAGTAGAAGTATTCAATACCAACAGATTGTGGGAGGCTCTGATCACAGAATACATAGTCTGCATGCTTGCTCACTATTTATTTAGTTGATGTAGTGGAAAATCTTGAGGATGACCTTTATTATTGCTCGACTTGAAAGTGTTGCTGCCAATCAAAGAGAGAATCTTTCTTGACATTTTAAACTTGTTTTGTCAGAAGAATTATGCACATTCCATACTTGAAAGTGTTGCTGCCAATCAAAGAGAGAATCTTTCTGTTATTATGTGTCCATCTTCTCTTCTCTTTTCCTTTCTTTGGTAAGTATATCTATTTGTTTCCATGGTGGATGCTCAACCAGAACATTCTTCAGTGACTGCTTGCTTCAGTATGTGGTAAGCTTTAAGAATATTGGAGACTTGGAGGTTCACCTCTTCTACCCTATGGATAATCTCGACAGCACCTTATCCATGGAACGAAAGAAAGCAAGCCTCCAAGATGTTTTGAAGGATAAAAGGCCTATGAATCCCCAAAAACCCACCACAAATCCGTGTCCGGTGCCGAGATATAACCATACGATTTCTTCCCCGTCGCCGCTCATACGATTTGTGCTATACATGACTATTTATCTATCACAACCGTGTAGGGTATCCAGGCCCAGGAAATGGGTTGGAAGTGGACAACCTGATATCTCCAACTCTTGTATCAGAGCTGGCACACTGTTCAAGCTAAATGCTTGTGTTCTCGGCCCCATCCTGCCTGCAGAATATGTTCTGATCTTATCTTCACAAACAAGGAGTGAGCTGGGAGGTGATGGCTTCCATTTTAGGGCACATGTTAAATACCACCTCTGCTGACTAGTTTGCACCCCATGATGGTGGACCATTGCAAGTTCTACCCTTTCTGGAATGACATTTGAGACAGGAAAATTGTTGAAGAAATAGTTCATGTTACAAGAGGTGTAGATGCTATAGCTCAGGCATATTGCTCACAGTTGATCCGTGTGGCTTGCGGTGAAGGGAACACATACTGGAGGTCATGGCAGGGAAGGAGGGATATGTTCTCTGTGTTTGTGTTTGGCCTTCTCTATTCTGGGACTGGTCAAGCTTGACAGGGATACTGGGGAGAAAGATAGAGCAAAGAGAAGAAGATTCTATCTTTGATGGGAGACAAGTTGAACTCCAGAGAGTCATATCCCATTTAGCATGAATGGGGAACTGAATCCAGTCATGTCATTCAATGGCATCTTGGGTATTCTTTTCCCTACTTTGATGATGAAGATGCAAGAGAAAGGATTGCACTGATCGAACCAGAAAGTATTGGCAGTACCCGTGACCAAGTTTTGGGTAATGCAAAACATTCTAATGCAATCACTAAACTAGAAGAAGATTCATCCGATGGACATTAGAACAAATGTTTTCATTCGTTACATATGGATACATCTAAGTGACAAATTACTCACTCTCTTTTGTTTCACTTCAATAGGGATAAATAGTACATTTTAAAGTAACATACGTTAGTTTTATGTGTGCTCAGATAGTGCAGCAGATCCCACATGGCGGAGGGACCCAAGGGATTCACCTAGGATGCCTTTAGCTGCCCAACCAAGTGAACAGCAACAGCTATCTTGTATATATCTCCAATGAGATGATTTTTACTAGATCCAATAAAATATTCAAATTCGTACATGCCAAGAATGAGCTATGTTTATTGTAGATTACTGTCATCTACCACTGCAGGAGTGTTGATCACTAGCCAATACTCAATTGTAGAATATGAAAATTACAGGTTGCAGACCTGATGCAAGTTCAGCGAGAGAATAGAACATGGCCAGTTAAAGAACCCTATTTGGTGCACGAAAAGTCATACTTAAACTTGCAGATGAAACAAGTTAAAGAGCAATATGAAACACGGCGAGCAACCGAGACAGACGAATGAACATTTGAGCAAAAGTATGTAGTGCATATCATGATATAACTTGTTAGCCACATTATAAGTTGGCATTGATACTCACACTGAAGTGCAGGGGCAATTGTAGTCTGCCATGATGCCTTAGATGTAGTTCAGGAAACTGCAACAAATGATGAGGATTTAATAGGCCTGTCCAAGGGTTATGTACAAGATCAATGGACAAAATGCCCCTTCTCTTCAGCTTCATTCACCACCGAGTATAAACCTGGTTCAGAGAAGTAGTTGATATTAATTTACCATGACATATTAAGCAGCAATGGTTTCTGTAGCATGAATAAACATTTTTAGAAATGAAAGGATGACTGTATGCAACTTACGCCTGCATAATTTTAAAGTCAACTGAGCATGGAAGGATGTCCAGTCTGCAGCATCCTCTTAAGCACATCAGCATGCCAACCAAAAGAGGAGTCTGATGAACTGTCGAACATGTCGAGAAAAGGT